TTTTGCTTCCTTGTTTCGTTTTTACTTGTTGAATCATGATTGAAATATTATATTATTTAAACCATCATTGATATAAAATAAAACGCAAATGACGGGTGGAGGGGGGTAGGAAGAATACACTGTTCGCTTTGTGAAAATAAAAAATTGTGCATAGTCAAACGAATTAAATTTGTTTTCAATTTGAAACACATTACAATATTACAATAAAATATTGTGTAGCGTGGACCCGTGGTACCTGCTAGGTAGGTTTCACACGATTGATTTTTATTACGCTAACGTAGCTAACGCCAATTAAACAAATGTGTTTCTGTTTACAACGAGACACGTTTTTAAATAGTGTTAACGTCCACACTATATTATACCAAATTGTGAGAAATAATAAAACCAGACATTGTTGTGATATAATTTTTTAATTCTATTTGAACCCATTTACCTAAATCTATAGAACTGTATTATTTTCGTTTTGCCATGTTCCTACTTCCTGTTCCACTATAAATATTCATTCTATATACTTGCTACTATAATATGTGGAGTTATTACCTACTTAGTTTTATGTATATAATCTGTGGTAAATATAATATATTCCTCGATTGAGAAAACAAACGAAGCAGTAAACAAATTAGGTATAATTAATTTTTATTATTTAAGCGTCAACCATCACCTAGTAGATGGCTGCTTACATTCAATCAACATAATCAAATTGTGAACTCATGGGCCCCCACACGAATATGTTAAGTCATCTTCTTGAAGAATAAATAAAAAAGTAATAATATGATAATATTTCTGTAGAGTTAGGTATTACAAAAAAAGTCACCGGAATTAAAGTTCTTGTTTATTTTATTCCTATAATATTATATAAAAATAAAAATATTGATTACATTTTTAAATTATACTAATTAATTAGACTAATTGCTTAACATAATTTATTCCGTTAATATAGGTACTTTTAATGTTATTAAAAATTAAAATTGTTTGCTATACAATTTTAATGTAGAATTATCACCAATAGACCAAGCATACTTTTCTACATTACTGTTAAAAATTGAATATCCCTATATCTTATTATAGTCAATTCTAAATGTTCCACATTATACACCTACTCATCAATGCAAATAGTAAAATAAATAATTGCTAGGTATACCTATGTTGGGAGATTTTTGATTGGAAAAAATGTAGTTATTGCATAATAATTGAATGAATGTAATCAGCAAAATTAGATTAAAAAATAAAAATGATAAAATATTACCTAATATAATATATATTTTTAAGAGGCTACATCAGAACTAGCGATACACCTTTTGTTTGTTAAATAATAAATATAAACTATAAATCATAATCTACATTGTTTCAACTAGACATTTAGTTAGTGCTTTAGCTTAAAGAATGACAGATAGCAGTATGTACATAATTTAATGAAATAAAAACTACAATCGTTGAGTTGTGCTTATTAAAATTTGATTGAAGAATAATTTTTAAATAATAGAAAAATGTATATAGTGCTCTTGTATGCAAAAATAGCCTTGTCGTTAAGAAATTATAGGTACATACTAAAATATACTTATCATTAGTATTTATGTATTCAGTAAATTATTGACTGAAACTTGTATTCTTAAAAACAATAAATGAAAACTAAGTATATAGTTATATTTTTATAAATACCTGTATATATATTATTATATTCTAACTAAACTAAAATTGCATAGGTAATATAATTGTATACTGTTGTTTACATTTTCAATTAATATAACACATAATACCTATGAATGTCTTAAGTAGTTATAATCGTTTCCCCAAAGCATGTTAAATTATTATCTTATATGCAATATAACTATGTAAGTTACCAATTTATAAAATATCTTTCAGTTGACTCACCATTTAAAACCAGGAAACAAAATAAATTTCAACTATCCTTCAATAGGTACATAAAACTAAAATTATAAAATAGATTTTAACGTAATCATCTGTTCTTATGACACCTATATACAAAAGGAATTGTCTATTTCATTAATATAATACTATAATATAATATATGAAGTAACTCAGTTACACCTGTTGTTTTCTTTAGCCAATCTCATTTTATGAATTGTGTTGTTTTATATCCATATTTATATAAATTAGTATTAATACAGTGATATTTCCATATTACAGTCACATTGAAAAAAATAATGTGTAGACATTATATAGAAATTGGAATTTTGGAGGGGGGGAGCAATTTAACCAATACATACAAATCTTGCTACTGAAGTGTCACTGTATGTATACCTAACATACTAACATTAATATTTATTTGATTTATTATAAAATATATGTTATCACTTGGCTACTTGCTAACCAAACCCACATTAAATAAATCTTGTAAGTATTAAGTAATTATAAACCCTAATGATTGATTTAAAAATCAAATTATAACTCACTTGAGCCCCAAGCCCCCCCCTAAATAAATATCGCTATTTGGGTGCCTGTGGTGTATACATAACTATTATAACTTCCATATATCTTATACGATATTTCGAGATTTTATATATTACATGTTAAAATAAACTAAGTAGATAAGAAAGGCCATAATGGATAACAAAATATGGATTACCTATAACGATGTTATAACTATTTTTAGTTAAATCAATTAAATCCTCTGTATAATCATTTCACTTAGGACCAGTTGTACCATCTCCGATTAAAGTTAACTGAAGTTTAATTGGCTGAATTTGAATGGTTATAAAATCTATTATCGGCTGATTAATCGTAATCGAAGTGTAACCGTAGACGGTACAACTGGCCCTTACAGTTATCAACAATAATTTATTACAATTCTATAAAATTAAGTTCACAGAATGCATAGTAATAATAATAAAGCTTTCTATGGCAATGGCTAAGAAGTGAAAGGTAGAATGACATTAGATGTGATTCACAACTTTGTAGGTATACAACACACTTCACAGTCAACATAAAAGTTAGCGGACAGTTCAATACCAAGGTCAATATTTGTTATACCGATACAACAGTCTATACTCTTTAGAGTGTAATCATGTGTATCTATGTGGTAATAAAACAATGAAAACTAACAAAATTAATATTATTGATAGTTTATTTTTTATTAAATGTAACCTGTGTTATAAGTAGATATTCATTATATTACTTATATATAATATTACAGTGGGTCCCAACCTTTTTATATCCGCTTACCACCTATACAGTTTGACAATTGTCAAGTACCATTTGACCAAATAACGTTTTTTTTTTGATTATCAAAAATTAATATTGTTATTTTACATGTAGGTATGAAAATTTATTTTATTAGGAACTAAACAATTTTGGTAATATAAGAATTTAGTGCAGAAAAAAAAATTGAAATATGTATAAATTATTGTTATTTATATTATTATTAATATTAAATAAACCAAATAATATTTATTGTGAATAAATCCTACCTAAGACCTATTCCATTTTTTTATAAAGGGAGCTTTTCTTAGCTTATCACCAATGAGCTTTCCGTGTACCACAAGTTGAGAAACGCTGATCTATTACAATAGTTTTGAGTCAAAACTTTTCACTTTGATCAAAATTAAATCAAGTTAGCTTTTCTGTTATCGCCTAATCTGAGCAGTAAAATGCAGAGTAAAATGTAATATTCATTCTAATAAATGTACAAAAAACAAAATATAATCATCAATCAAACCGTTTTAGAAATTGCATGCATGCATTTAAAATTTTTAATTGTTCATAATTATTTATTTAATTTTAATATATTTTTTCTAATGTTCACAAATTGTCAAACATTTATTACCAATTTGCTATATATATTTATGTTTAAAATTTATTTTTAATTAATTATTAATTAAGAAAATTCTAGTTAAAATAGTGCTAATGTTTCTAGTTATTTTACTGCAATTAATTTCGTTTAAACTAGATATTTGTATTTTATTTGTTACTCAATAACCTATAACATGTTAATAAAATGCTCTTGTATTTTTAATATTTTAATATCAGTTATTTCAAGGTAAAATAATATCCTTGTTAAATGTGTTAAAATAAGGTACTTTATGTATAATCCCACATATTTATAAATCTAATTTATTAACAAAATATTAGCTAATCAAAAATCTTGCATTTCTTATAATTTTAAATAAAGTCTAAAAACTTGTTCTAAAATAATACTCCTAATAAAACCAAATTACACGTAGTTGGTATTATCGAGTTTAATTAAAATTAATATTCTAATTATATATAGTTATTAATTTATTAGGTACTATAGGTTAGGTATATATCTCATTATTCTAAAACCCTAAACAGGTTTTATATTTACAATTTCTAGCTTATATTGAACATTGATGTACAACTATCTACTAATCTACATAATTTATGTAATTAAATAAGTATATTATGTGAGTGTTTCATATAAGGTATGGAAATAAAAATTATCTTCTTATTTATTACAATTTATCTTCTTAAGTCTGTCATCAATATTGTCTACAATATAAATAGGATAACTGAGTTCAATGGCTGAATTGAGTGCACATATTGTATCTTATCAATATCCCACTACAGTTTACTTTGAAAAAATAAATGTGCTGCTTTGTCTCCTTGCTTTCTTGCCTCTCTTCCTTTGTCTCGTTGGAATCATCAAACATGTTCAATTATCCTCATAAACGTGTTATTTTTTTTATTTACAAATAAATAAAATATTTTTTTTTATCGAATTCATCTCAGTAATTTATTTGGATCAGCCTTGAACTGTATGAAATGACCACAATGTTGTACCATGTATGGAAGTATTTATTTATCGACAAAGTCTAGTTGCAGGTAGCCCGTTCCCTTGACCCTACCTTATAAGCTACAGTACACTTATGGAACTTAAAAACGTGACTGAACTCTACTTCCTGGTGGTGACGAATGTTTGCCAATTTTAGGGTTTAAAAGTCTTGGTTGTTTAATGTCTCCATTAATTGCTCTTGAATATAACTCAGTTTCACCATAAATGACCTTAATATGTTTGTTTTCAGTTGCTGTTGGAAGGCAAATCAGCTATGGAAAATGCCAAACTGTTGAAAACCACGACAACTGGCGCTACGCCATTGCTGATGGCCTGCAGACACGGCCACTACGATATAGCCTTGTACTTAATCAAAAGACACAAAGTCAATATCGAACAAACAGGCTCAGGTAATAAATTTATCATTGCTCGATGCATAACCTTTTGCAATATTAGGTACGTCCTTTGATAACACTGAAATTCCGATTTTATCTATTTCCTTTGTAAATATTACGTTTATCAAATCTACCAGATTATTTACTTTTAAATTCCTAAAAACGTACTAATATGTCTATTGATAATTCATTTGTATCTAGTTTATCTCAAGTATTTGTATATGATAATCTTTAAATAAAAAAAAATTAAAAGAGTATAATCGACCTTGTCATATTATATTTATGAATTTTATAGAAACTTTAAATTTTACTACAAAATATAAATTTCAAATTAATTTATGAACCCAGATATTGATAACTATAAATTGCTATGTTAGATACAGTCTATTTATATAGTCCGTATTTTAAGGACCTAACACCTACTAAACATATTTGCATTTTATTTATAATTAAAATAGTTATTATGTCTTTGTTTAATACTTCAACAAATCGATCAATAAATTAATAAGTGCGGGCTTAGTAATTATTATATTTTTAAACTTTATCTCTAGTTATACCTTAGTTTGTAATTTTATTTAAAAAAAAAAAAAATTGTTTAACAGCTGTAGACCGATAACAGTAATAAATAAATAAATGAACATTAATCTAACATTGCAAGAGCAAATTATCTAATACTTAAATAAATGTATTTTAATAACTATGTTTGTCTGTGTCTGTTTATTGAGAATAAACTAATAAGTAATAACTTACTATACTGGAAACCGCCCAAGCTATGTGTATGAAATTTGGTCAGTAGTTTCATTTTACGACCCACCAAGAAAGGATTTTCCAAAATTCGAATTTTAAAGAGGTCCTCAAACAATGATTTTGAGATTCACGACGGAAATTATTTTGTATATCTGGTTATTATTGGTTACTCGGGCAGATAAGGTAAAAGCATGCATCAAATTGTCGCGTTTACATGGCCTCGATTAAAGAAATTATGTCTTAAAACCAAATTAGCTTATATACTCAAAAACTGCTCAATTTGATTTTGATGAAAATCTCTATTTTTGATCTCGTCAAGACCCGTTTAACATAATTGACATATTTTTCAATCTTTTTTATTTTTATTCAATGTTAAATGATGTAATATTATAATAAGCAATATTATAATTTATAATTTAAATAATTTCTACGGTTTGCTTATAATTACATAAACGTAGTTTACTTAACTTGCTGCTGTAATTGTTTTGAATAATTATTGTTTTTATTATTATTTGAAGCTATTTAGATACTGTTTTTACTGAATAGATATTGTTAATTATATAGTTTTTATTATTTTAACTTCTCAAAATAAGATAAGTTTATTCTGTGTATTGATCATGTTGAAAATTGCAAGTTTAAGATGTATTTTAAAATATTAAACTATATAGTAAGTAATAAACAATACAAATATTATTGGTAGTTTTACTAACAAATATTTTATTGCCAGCATTTAAAACGTAAATCCCGTTAAATCTGTACCTTTAAAGGCATATAATTGTACATAACATTCATTCCATACATATTTCTCATTATTAAAAAAGGTCATAAACTCATAAATAGCTTTTCCGTTATAAATTTACAAACATAATTTATCTGTCATAACTCATAACAATAAGTTATGGTTATCCATACCTCACACACTACACAGCGATTCACTGTTAAAACAACTGTCAATTTTGTATTTTATTTTGTATTTCTACTATTTAATTCGATTCTTGTATCAAATCGAGGAATCAATAAATATTTTAAAGAATTTTTGGTTTATTCTTATGCTGGTTCAATTTTTTATAATCAATTACATTGTTTGATTTATAGATTTTTTGTGTCGTTGTAGTCTAGTTTAATATGTATAAATTATATTAAATTTGAACTCGACTATAAGTAATATATTATTATAATCAGTGGCTGCTCGTGGCCAATGGGCTTATGAAGAAATAGTGCACAATTATACATTTAATTACGATAATAACACATAAATATTATTGTAACAATTTCTTTCGTCGTTAAACAATAAATATTATATTTAATTGTCGGTTATAAATGAAAAAGCAATAAATACAATAATATAATATTACGCCAGTCCGTGTATCAATTTATTAGTCGTTTCGTCTAAAGTTTGACCCGACGTAAAAACAACTGGGTAAAAAAATAATATCACTTTAAACCAAAAAAAAAAACAAGACGTTAATCTTTTACCAAAGATTCTTTAGGTACGTACTAGTTTTCTTATACGCGGTATGTGGTATGCAAATATGCGGAGGTCTGCGCCACGGGCGAACGGGCGGCCACCGCGGTCTACCAGAGTTCAGACTACGGACATGTCTGTGCAGGTCCGTTCGGTTTGCCTCATGTTTCGACATGGAACGGTTCTCGTGTGGTATTTATACGTTTCGGTCGGCAGCTGCCGTGGCACTATCTATATAATAGGTGTCGGGTGTCGACTGGTCTGTTCATTATTATTATTATTATTATTCATTACGGTTTACGCTTTAAATTTTATAACCGTAGTGTTGTATTGTACTTACCGTACATACCATTGAGATCGGGCAGGTGGTTTCGTGTCCAAAAAAGCTATTGTGAATATTTTTTTACATTGTATATAAAATAATCCAAAGTTACTTACGATAATGTTCAACCGACCACTAGAATAATATTATGTTTATCATCGTTAATCGTGTCGATGAGTAGAAAGACCCGTAGGTACCAAATTTTGAGATTTTTACAAAAACATACCGCTGTCAGGTCTTCAAAGGTATTTCTGAAAATTTGAAAATATCAACAAATTTATTGCTACACAATGTAATCCTGTGATTATCTATGCACAATTTAACTTAAGCAGATCAACAAGTGGCAGCTATTTATTATTTTTTCCGTATATTTAGTAACTGTGTATTTTGTAATAAAATAATTATAAATACGCATTTAAGAATACCTGTATAATTTATTTTGAATTAATATTAACCTTTTTTTGCATATGTTTGTTTGAATATTTAATATGTTGTAAGGCATATAATTGCATATTTTGACATTTTTAAATGCATATTTTAATGAAATTTTGGTCATTAACATCCGAGTTCTAGTAATTATTATTTATTATATTTTATAATTAACTGGTGAATATTATTATTCTATATTTTTTATTATTTGGCGTTAGGTGCCAAGTATCTATCTATATAGTGCGGGACACCATCAAATTCGTACCCTTGTGCAAATTTACCGATCTTGTGTCTTCTGAAGTTATTAATATAGTCCCACCATTTTTTTTTTCATTTGTAACGATTGGCTTTTTAATGTTCTGTCGTATTTGCTGGAGCCTGGAGACGGAGATTTTCCCATCTCTACTTTGAATGTTTGATAATAATAGATTTAGAATGGACTATAAGTTCATAGTTTTTATAAAACTAAATAGTTAATATAAGAATAAATAAAAAATAAAAATGTAAATCTTTAAATTACGTTTGATAATTAAAATACTACAAAACATTCCTTGAGTCCATCCTATAAAATGGTAGATATTATGTGACTTATAGAGCATCGATAATCACAAGTTAATTAGGTTATGTTAACAATTATAATATATAGGTTAGGTATAAATGTAAAATATATATTACAATATAATATTTTATCATAAAAAAAAAATGTTTTGAACATTTTTGTGAATTTTAGGAAGAAGAGTGCATGATAATTTTATTTCTCTACAATTCGTGATTATAAAAATACCTTGAACTTGTCGCTCTAAATTTGTGTTATCTACTTACTACAATTTATTTATTGTCATACTGTGTTCAAAAAAAAAAGAAATTACCAATGCAATATGAAGGTGCACACAGATAAAAATTTGTTTATTTTATTATCAAGCCAGGCTTTGATTTAATTTTTGTAAAAATGAATGAATCAGTGGCATCGTTCAATAAGTCTAGGGAAAACATTTTACTATATTATGACTTGTAAGTGATTGCAGCTTAAAACAGCGTTAATAGCGAAGTTTTTGTTTAAAACCCTGATTTTTGTTCGCAGTTATGTTTGACGGTGAAACAATAGAGGGAGCGCCACCGCTATGGTGTGCGGCCGCTGCTGGACATCTGAACATAGTTAAACTGTTAATCAGAGAAGACGCCGTGGTGAATTCTACGACCAAAACGAATTCGACCCCGTTGCGCGCTGCATGCTTCGATGGACACTACGAAATCGTCAAATATCTTGTCGAACACGGTGCAGGTGTGTTTTTTGCTATTCGTTTGTGTGCACTATTTACCGCTACCTAGCCGTCCTACCTCAAAAATGTCCCATTATTAATCCCCAGGAAGGGAGAGTTCCGATCGATTGTCACGAGAATACAAGATCGTAGACGCAATCACAATGTATCATTAATTATTACGTAATAGTACACATATTGGTGCAAATAAAAAAATAGTTAACAATAAGTCTAGTTTTTATATTTGTGGGTGGTATAAAGGCCCGCACGGCACACATTGTAATACATTTGTAGTGGTCCAACTGCATTTTACCTCCGCCGATGCAGTATGTGCTGACCTTTGAAGGTTAATTTCGAATATTGTCGATATTAATTCACGATTTGCGCATGACTTGTAAAACAAAATTAACAAAAAAAAGAACACTTCATGGACAGAGGAGTGTATTGTACTTGCATTTTTTTAACACTAATTTCTCTAGCACGTCTACTAAGCGTTGAATACTCTAGGTGACTAGGTCAATTGCCAACCGTTGGTATTTAGGGATAGAGAGAGGACAAATTGTCACTTCTATACGAATAATTCTCACCGATAATATATTTTGACAGGCACTACTTTACGTTACTTTTTTTAAATTCAAGTAACATAACAAATGAGGAATCTTGTATAACATTTTCAAGCTTTAGACATTAAAAATTTGTTATTAAAATTCAAATAAGACAATACGAGGAATCCAAAGGTTTATCGGTATTAATTAGATACTTAAAAAAAAAAAATTAATTAAATATGGATCTTTTTATGGCATGAAAAACAGTTCTTTTCGAATCTACCTTCAAGTGTTTTTTTAAATGTCTTATTTCTGGCGGCTATATTAACCGTATACAGTTGTGTTATTATACACTAGTGCATTGTGCGTTTTATTTTGCGCATTGTGTGTGTGTATGTATGCTCTGGGAAACTGGAAAGTCTAAATATGACACAATCCGCACCTTGGTAATTAAATCATTATTTATAATTAATACCTATTGACAGAAATCGAGAGGGGGCTTGAGGGGCTTCAAATACCCTTGAGGATCACCCCTAGCCCCCCTAATAAAGTATGTCAACTGTCAAGCCCCTTCTTTTTTAGTTCTGTGGGATCGAAGCCCACCCCCCGCTCACATTGATGTTAATAATATTCAGCCCCCCCCCCGACATTTTTATGGATTTCCGCCTATATGTTAATACCACTTCGATTTGTATTCAATTGAATTTCAGTTTAATTGTGCTTGGGTGTTAGTTTAATGTTAAACTCTACACTTAACCTAATCGTACTAATCGGGTTAGTAAAAACTAAAAATAAGTTTGAAATTTTACCAACACTAATGCGCAACCCGATGTCTATATTAAATACCTATTTATATGTATTATAATATTTGCGAAGCGGACAAGTGTAATTTATTGTGTAAAAAATAATTATTGAATTTCCCGCGTACGTGCGACACTCGCTGTACACACGTCTTTTTAATCGTCACCGTGAAGGTGAAATTTATTAACTGCGGGAACGACAAACTGTTTTGTTTTTCTTCGTCGTCTAATTACCATTTTTTCGGCGGCGCCCATTCAATAGTGGATAATCGCTCGGGAGAAAAGCGTATTCAGTTACCTGGACAAATTATTTCCATATAATTATTATAGCGGTTAAGTGGCGTCGTAATCACTTTTTATGAGTCGTAAGATGTCGCACGTATGGTTCAATTAACGCGTGTTTCGCTCAAATTATAGTTGATGGTTCAATATTTTACTCTGACGATGGTATTTTCACCGCTCTCGACTAACATCTTATATTTCCATTCCCACAGACATCGAAGTATCCAACCGTCACGGTCACACGTGCCTGATGATCGCTTGCTACAAAGGCCACTACAAAATCGCCAACTTCCTGCTGGCCTTAAAAGCTGATATCAACAAAAAGAGCGTCAAAGGCAACACTGCGTTGCATGATTGTGCCGAATCCGGTAGCCTGGACATATTCAAAATGCTCATACTCAATGGGGCCAAAATGGAAGTGGACTCTTATGGTTAGTGCCACTCGATTGTATTATTATGTCATAACCACATGTTGTAATATTATTTTAATAGTAAAAATAGTACTGCGCAATTGGGTGAATGATTATAGTGCCAAAAAAAGAACCGACCACATCGTCCTTGTGTAGGTGATAAATAATAATTCTCATTTGTGTTTTCTGTTTATATTTACAGGTATGACTCCACTGTTGGCTGCGTGCGTGACCGGTCACGCAGACATCGTCGATTACCTGGTTAAGAGTAACAACTTGGTGTCGCGCAAAGAGAAGATCGAAGCCCTGGAATTGCTTGGTGCCACATATATTGACAAGAGGAGAGACTTAATCGGCGGTTTCGACCTGTGGAAACAGGCCATGGATCTGAGGTTCAGCGAGGACGACGACGAACTGGACATACCGAAACCGGACAACGCACTGCCGATTGAAGCGTACGAATGGGCTCAGGAAGTGAAAAACCACGAGGAACTCAACGAACTGTTGTCTGAACCTGACGAGATGAGGATGCAGGTAATTTATTTCTGCCCATCTAACCGGCCATCACCCATGTTGGTCTGGGGCTCTGAACATTTTGTTTAAATTTCATAATGTTTTAATGTTTTTCTTTTTCCAGGCTTTGTTAGTTAGAGAACGGATCCTAGGTCCTACGCATCCGGACACCAGTTACTATGTGCGCTATCGAGGTGCTGTGTATGCTGACGCCGGCAAATTTACCCGGTGCATATCTCTGTGGAACCATGCCTTAGACATCCAAAGAGGTTCTCTTGAGTCTTGCCACCAGATGACTGTCTCTTCATTCTTCTCCTTTGCCGAACTCTTCTCTTTCATGTCTGACGCATGCGCTACCAACGACAACAACGGTTACAGACAAGTTCCGGCGCTTTTGACTTTCGAGGACATCATTCAAGTCCTGGTCAAAGCTGTCAATGAATTATGTGAACCAAAAGTTCTGCCATCGTCGTTCGATTTATCTCCTAGATTATTGCTCATTTCATTGGATCTCTTTAATATGGCTCTCAAGTATGTTTATGTTTTTTTTATAGTAAATCAAGTATGCTTGTACACTATAAGATTTATTTTAATTCTCTCCTACGGTTTATATTTAGATTGATACGGAACGATGATCATTCTCACCTGACCCACCGCTTGCTGTATCGTTTGAACAAGTGCAAAGTTGTAGGACACCTCGGTCAGACTGCTCTTCATTTGGCAAGTGCGCGTAAAACTGCTCTGGCAACATCCCGGCATCCCCAATCCATCAGCTCTGAAGATGCGTCTATGTTGTTGAGAGCGTTGCTCAAAATTGGCGCCGACCCCAATGCGCGTGATGAAGAGGGTAATACACCGCTTCATTTAGTCTCCTCCAAAGATATGACTACCATCAAACTGCTTTTGGGCGGTGGAGCGCATTACGATTCTGTCAATGCAGCTGGTCGCACATTCTGTGACATGCGCAAAGCCACTCCGCATAACCCGCTGTGCCACACATCTTTGGCGTGCCACGCTGCCCGCGCCATACGCAAAAACCGTATACCATTCATTGGACATATACCAGTCACGTTGTACGAATTTGTAGAAAAACATTAGTAAAATAGACATTAGAAGACGTACATGTATGATGATGGTTTGATGTTTCTGTAATTTATTATTGTATGCACGCAAAATGAAAAAAAAAATTATTATTATTATTTTATCTAATAAATCGTTTATAATCTTATAGTACAGACTACTACTATAATCATTAATCAATAAGAAAAACTCATCAACTGGAAACTGTGTGTTTTCATGTACGCAGTTGTGTGTATACCCTTCTTATTTGTTCTCTGTGTTACTTCAATTTACTTTTATTATATAATGTAATAAATAAAGTGAACAAGCATTTACCCGCCCTGTCGGCTGTCACTATACTGTCAAAAACCAAAATAACAATATAACATTTTTCTGTACAATATATATTTTCTTCTTTATTTTATATAGAGAGAATAGACGTTTTAATGCTATTTTTATTTAATATGTACATTATAGTATCTATAAACTTTGTTTACATAGATGAAGTTTAATAATTCTATTTTATAATAAATATATATTTAAAAAAAAAAAAATGTTATTTGTGTGTTGTGTTTAAAAGTATTTCATACATACAGATCAAAAACTCTTACTTTTCAGACACAGATGCTGTATTTAAATGACCTACTCCTTTGACAACAAATGTTGAATGTCTTAAAAAAAATTGCAAAACATCCAGAGTTATATTGCTAGGACAGTAATTAGTTTTATTGTAATACCCCTTTTAAAAATTGAATTGACATAAGTGTTTTGTTTAAAATGTTTAAACAGTAAACTACTGATTACTGCTGTTTTCTTTAAGTAGAAAAAGTGGTTTTATTAACATACATACCATATTTTTATTTTTTTTTGTTACATATTTTTAATTTATACAATCTGTATAAAATGTTTTTACAATAAGCAACAATAGATTGAGGGATAAATAAGTGTTCAGGGCCGGACTGGTTAAACAATTTCTACCAGGAAAATAAAAAATCGGCCCACTTAGGTATACCTATAAAAACAACACTTAATATTATTATTAAAAATTAGTTAGTACAAAGAAATGTTGTTATTTTTATTTAAAATACATATGTTTATACTCCAGAATACACATTAATACATATTAAGCAATTAGTTAAGGTTTGAGCCATAGGATGAATTAAATTTTTTGGGGGGAGCTCTTTTTTGTGGTATGTCGGAACCTCTTGCGAATTACTTCGCAAAAGGGCTATAATGATTCGGATAAAGAACATGATATCCTACTAATATAACTATAGAAAAATGTAAAGGAAAATATTATAAGCTAAGGAAGCCCATTTTAAAGTATAATATAAATAAATAATATACTACCATACATCTATTATAAAATACATATTTTGTATTTGAATTAAATATGAAAAAAAAAACAATATAAATTGGGAATTATTCCTTAACCCCCATCATTGTACATCTATGGTTTGAGCTCTTTTGAAAAATTGTGTCCACCGAGCCTTACATTATTTTACCTTAGTTCAGGCACTATGGCGGCACTGGAATAGATTGGAGTTTGTGTGGTGATAATAATTGTCGTACATTTTAGGTGTGCAGACGTGCATTATGATATAAGGTAGGGATTACCGATTAACGAAGACATTAAGACAATAATATGACGCAACACACAAGCATCTATTCTTGACAGTTTATACATTTTTTTCATATCTATTTTGAGGAATTTCCTTAACTCTAAATAGTTTTCCTATACGATCGCATTAGAAAATGTATCTATGTCTGTCGACAGGATGAGCCTTAACCGATAAACCTGAAAAAAAATGTCCCTTGAGTACAAGCATCCCACCGTGAGACTCCCGGTATCCCGCCTGCCCAGTCCGGCCCTGTAAGTTTTCTTCATTGACTTTATTTAAGAAACTATTCAGTAATAGGACTTAATGATGTGGTTTAGTCGACTAGCTTGTCACAATTCCCAGTTACCCTTTAAACGCCGGCCAGGGCAACCTGGGATTGTTTAGGAAAAGGTTTTGACGATTAAGGTACAGACCAGTTAGATAACGAACATTTTGGGCAGTTGGAGAGAGGTTGTTTGTTGAATGTGATAGTGTGGCAGTTTATGAGTATGAATGTGCAGTGGATGGATTTGGATTCATTGATTTTGAATCCCTCACTCTTTGTAGCATGCCGAGATGTGTTTGACGGTTAGGATAACTTTATTATCAGCAGTCACCAGTGATACTAAAGCTGGTAGTGAGTTGGCTTGATGTGTACAAGTTGAATAAGAGAGGAACCGCTACAGGTTCTTGTGGACCTCCAGCTCTAATTAATGATGTCAGATAAGGCTGAGCCATATCGTACAGAGAAATGTCTATCTTCTAGATAGGACTTGTAGTATATACAATTTTAATTTTATTAGTTTATATTATACATTATAGTAACCACACATTACCACGATATTACAGATTTTATATATCTTATTAATACTCCTAATATAATGGTTTTCAATCTTTTTAGCCAATTGTGCGCTCTTTGGTACTAAAATTCAGCCAGTTCTAGTTCTTATTGATAACCAATTAAAAGCTCATTCAGCACGGTAAAAACTCAGCCAAATACGGTAGTTAACAAAACTAACAAAGCAGATCTTAGAAAGTTATATGTATAATAATATTATCTATAAACATATACAGTAGCGTATCCAGAATTTTTTTTCGGGAGGGGTTATAATTTATTTTTGTGGAATTTTATCTTAAAATGATTTATTAATGATAACGTTGTTATAATTTAACAATTTTCGGGGGGGGTTACAACCCCCTAACCCCCCCCCCCCCTGGATACGCCACTGAACATATATGTCTTGAAAGGTTGGCCAAAACACATTGTATGAAGATGGATATTATGTTAAAAATAGTTAGGAAAATAGACAGGTGGTTTATACATCATATTTATAATTAAACAAAATATAGTCTGATTATATTTTAAAAGTATTGTTGCTATTATCAATACATTATTAATTAATAAGAAAATTATTTTTATAAAATTAAAATTGAAACTAACAAAATTAATGACATTAAATTGTTAATATATTTTGTATGGCAGGTAGTGCCCTTGGAATGGGCTCGAGTATTTTGAGAAATTTGTACAATTAACATTTAAAAATAAAATAATTAATTAATCAATTTAATCACTATCGTCTGAAGTAGTTAATTCATGTGTATTTTTATTGAAACTTCTTTTGAAAACTTCCGACAAACGTTTCATTGCATCCAGTTTTGTACTCGGAAATCCTTCTATGCTGTCGTCTTCATCATCACTACTCAACATTATTAAATTTTCTTGTGTAAACAAATCTTCATGAACTTCTACCATATCCGGTTCTTTGTTGACGGTCGAAGGTCCTTGAGTCTGCTCTTTTTCCGTTTCCATTTCCGTGACATCAAGTTCCTTTTCAGTGACATCAACTTCCTTTTCAATGACATCAACTTCCTTTTCAGTGGCATCAACTCTCTTTTCATTGATTTTTTTCATAAAAGATTCCTTTTTCTGTAAAACTGGATCAAATTTACTTTTAATTTTTCTCAGATATTTTGAACTGCTTTTGTCATCTGAATGTTTTAAATATTTGATCACACGCAACAATTTTGGGCCAATTGTGTTTACCAATTCGTCATTGTTGTCAAAATCAATTTCTAACTTGTACAGGGTATCAACTAACATAGCCGTGTAGGGGTGGTTTTCGTCTAATAAATAATCAAGAATGTAACATGCCAGTTCACCATGAGCGTTAATAGCCTTTTTTTCATTCTTGTACATGAGTCCTCGAGTGAGGTTCATTAAAGTTGAGTTCACTTCATCTATTTTAATACCCAACTTCTCCCCTAAATCGTATTCATGAATTTCTTTTAACACTGGAACATAGCACATGGCCAATGCACTACTACTTGAATCAATGTAAAACACATAAGAAGTAAAGAATTTCACCAAACGATTGTATATATTGAAGGTTTCTCGCGATAAACGTTTAAACCATATTAACAAAAGTTTAGATAGTAAACTGATGGACTTGACTTTTTTAAATATCAACAAGTCGCAAAAACCTTTTACAACCACTGACTTAAAACTACTATCATTGACATTATAATCAATACAGTTAACTAGTAATGGTAAAATATTGTCAACACAAAAGTCGTCTTCATATTCTTCATCTGTGTCCAAGTCATCATTCATGTCAAAAGTTTTGAGATCATAACGCAAGAACAATTCAAACATAATTTTGAATAACAAGTGCCGATCAGTCATAGGTTTTGCTATTTCACCACATAAAGTATTCATGTGTACTTTGGCTGCAGGAACATTATTTAACAACAAGTATGGTGCAAGAGAGCGTATTGCTTCCATTCGAACGTTTACCTTAGAACATTCCAAGTATCCAACAACAATATTCTGAACAATATCTGTTAATAGGGAAAGTTCAATACCAACTTTTGGTAATTGTTGAACTTGAAAAATCAGTTCAAAGACCTTAAGTACATTTTTCACAGCCATATCTACTAATACTTTTTCGTCTGGCAATACATTTATTTCTTTATACTGTTTTTTTAATTTCTTCAATTTAAATATTAACATTTCTAATTCCTCTGTATCCTCTGCATCTGGAGATTCATTTTTTAATAATTCTTCAATTTTTTCAGTTTGTGATTTTACTTGAAATTCTAACAATTCTTTTGTACCAACTTTATCAACTAAAGGGTATATATCAATTGTTTTTGTTTGAATTTTATTTAAGATTTGTTTAACATAATTTAAAAGGTCTTTACCATTTTTGAAAGTCAAGCCAAACAATACTGCCACAGATTTTATAGGCTTAACAGACAATTGATCATCCAATATTAAATCTAAGCAAAGTTTGTTTAGACTTTCTGCCCCGACATCATCCATTGAAAATGCACTAATCATATCCAACAACTGTATGAGTATAAATTCATTACTATTCGTAGAATTAAAATAATAATCGCGTATATAATCAGAAAACTTTACCAAATCTGGTAATAAAACATCGACGTAATAGTCTTCGACGTGTCCTTGGTTACGAGCTAATTCAATTTTTTTCTCAGTAGTTAAATATTTGGCTATGCATTTCCAAAGAAAAATTTTTTCTACACTTAACTTATCAAATGCAATCATTCGTGAATCTGGATTTAAATATTCATTTATCAAATCCAAAACCTGACTATCATAATAGGCCTCAAATATTATATTCAAAGCTTTTTCGCATACAATTTCATTATCCACTCCCAAATTGTTCAATAACACTACAAAATCATTATTACAGTCATCTAACCATCTCTCCATAAACCGTTTTTTCACTAATGATCTGATAGATTCATTTTTATCTTCCAATCCTATTTCCAATATTGTTTGTCTTTGCTTGGACGATAACCTTAAAAATGGATATTCCAAGAAACGATTGTAAGCTTCTCTTCTGACATTATCACTAACATCAAATAATGTGTTCTTCATCATTTCATCAATAACATTGTTAAACATTGCGATTTTTTTAACAATAACTGTCCGAACTTCAACACTAGAATCACAAGTCATATGGAACATGAATTTTTTAACAACAGGACATTTAGGATTGTCTGGAGTTTGCAACAGATTTAAAGCATGTGCAGCTTGTGCTCGAACTTCTGGTTTCTTGTCTTGCAAACGGTCCAACAACAACAATGTTGCAACGTCACATAGTTCTACAGATAATACTGTTCCTTCAGTCATGTGATTCAACAAGTGGTTAAAAAATAGACAAAACCTATATCTGATAGCTTTATCGTTGGAATTTCCATACTTACGACACAATTGGAAAAACTCGGATATCAAATATAAACCACTACGACCGTCCCTGGTTGAGTGTTCAGATAATATAGATAAACCATTAGCAGCAAACTTAATCATATTGTTGACTGTTACACAATGGATGGTAGTTTGTGAAACTATAACAGACATAGTTGAATCCATGAACAGTGTAAAAAATTCTGCCCAATACATATCAAGAAATTTGTCTTTAAGCATTTTCAGCAAATTTGGCTGGGGACCAACCTCGCCCGCCTTCTCAAACAATTTGACAATAGATTTCTTTATGGCCATTTTTTGAACTTTAAATATTAATACTATGCATGTAAGTTCGTATTCAACGTATGAACACTATGTTATTATTATACTCCTACAGTCTACACTAATGGAACATTTAAGAATCGTTTCACAAAATACACAGTCAAAAGTATAAATAATTTACTCAGTACTCATCACTAAAGTATTTTAGTATTCTGAATATTCACTTATATCGAAAAAATTACAATAAAAATTGACACATCATGGAATCGTTAAAAACACTAAATAGTAAATTAGTAAATTCAAAACTATCATATAACTGAATCGTACAATTTATACAAGAATTGTAAATTATTTACAGCCATCATGTTCATTGTCCATGACTCTTGTATTATTGTATTATGGCGGCTGGCGCACGGCAGTTATTCGGAAAATGATAATAATGATAACCATGGTTTATACCACGGTCTTGGAAGATAATATCGGACGACATATATACCACGATCAATACCATGTTTTTTTTATCATGGATTGTATAGTTTCCATGACGTAATGTTAACATTTTTTTTACCGTCGGTATTTGATAGTAAAATAATGATTAATGAATAACAAAATAACAAATAACAATTAAATATAAAATAATATTGAATTATTGACTATTCTTTTATTATATTAATTATTCTATTACCTCTATAATCTACTATTGAGTTCAGCCGCGGCAGCCTCCTTTCTGATTTTGGAGCGATAGTTAAATTGCCACTTTTAATAAGCAATAGCTTATTACTATAATAGGTATTGTTTATTTCAAACTCACGTCTCACGGTAATTAGTTATTACTTTTGAAATACAAACGTGTTCAGGTTCATAAGGTGTAAGTTATATTAATTGTATTTATTATACTAATCTGCGCTAACATAGTTTTGTCCTACTTGTTTTTTTAAACTATTCACTTTTGATAGTTGTCTTCTTCTTGTACCTGTTCAATAATTAATTTGTTTTTAAGATGAATTCGACCCCTATACCTGGGGATAGGATGGCTTACACATTATTTTGTTTTGGTTCACTAAAATCGAATATTTTTTGTTAATAATTGGATCCCATTAGTTACAGATTATATCAGTGGTGACCAACTACGGCCCGCGATCATTAATTAACCGGCCTGTTAAATTATTAAATCAAAATAGGCAAAAAAATTTAATTTACATTTACCCACTAGGAATATGTAACGTTGGTATGATTTAATAAAAATTATTATTTCCCATTTCTTATTGTCCATTACGTTGTTAATCAGACATGACCATGACATTGTGTTGCAGCCGTATTGTAGTACACCATCTAAATATAAATAACATCAATAAAATATAATATTCTACTAACTTAAAAGTAAAAGTTAAAATTCTTGGCCCTCGGTAAAAGAAGATTGGTCGCCACTGTATTATATTACTATTAAATATTGTATGTTTTAAAATTTTATTATACAGTGTATTATGACATGTTTCACACAAAAAGTCATTAAAGGTTAACACAAAAAAAGATTTACCTAGAGTACTGCCTGGCTATTGGCTAACAACTTTTGCCTTAATCCTTGTCTGTTTAACAAAGTTGATATTATAGTTAACTTTAATTTTATTGGAAATTACAGTTGTTATACCTATATTGTGTATTAATATATTTCTTCTTTTTAGGTAAATAATGGAATCATTAATTTTGGAAGATTTAGGAAATTTAGGAAAATCCATTTCTGTTAAAGAATTTAGAAAAGCAATTAACGGTGGACCAAAATCCATCAAGTACACTCAATTAGTTGAATGGATAACCAAAGAAATTCAGATACTATTGGGACTTGAAGAACATGTAAATTCTATAAGCTCCGAAGCAGATTCTAGTTCATTCTTATTGGAAGTTAGTAGTTTCTTAAAAGAATCTCGTTGTTCTTATAACACTCTTATTGATGGCCACTTTGAAGATCGTTTAAATTCAGATGAAAACAAGTTACTTTTATTAGATTATTTGATTGGTGAATTAAGAGCATCTCGAATAATAAATGCTAGCACTACTAATACCAAATGTAATATGCAAGTGACACTAATTGAGAGCAATACATCTAAATATGTTAAAGAGATTTTAATGACTTTAAAATTTCCTAAGCCACCACAAAATATTACCACTTCTTCTTTATTCAATAAAGTTGATACTAAATTGCAAGATATTCTAAAAACCGTTCCACCTGCATTAATTGGAAAGTCATTAGTTTGTAATTCATATAGTAGTGAACAATGGAAATACATTAATAAAAGTATAGAACTTCTTAATGAAGAATTTAACATACGAAGCAAAATGTTGTTAACGAGACTCGATGTAACAGTACAATCATTTAAATGGCCCGACAGACTAAAAAATAAAAAACAAAAATTGGAAGAAATTTATCAAACTAAATTAAATCTTATAAACAAATTACCTAATTTTTGTACATCTGATTTTCTGTTGGCTAGAGATGATTTAGCAATTGTTGAAAAAACTTCTAGTATGTTAGCTGTACAAAATACAAATTCATCAGTTAATAAAGTTATGATTGGTCAAGTACCTGATAGAGGTGGAAGACCAAGTGAACAACAAGCACCACCTCCTGAGATGCCTAGTTGGCAGCAAAGAACACAATCACAAGGAGGTAGAGGTAGTCAATCAAATAGAGGAAGTCAGTCAAATAGAGGTGTACAGTTTCACAGTAGAGGAGGTCAAGGTGGAAACCCACAAAATAGAGACAACCAATCAAATAGAAACTCTGACATTGGTGGTTTTCAAGGTGGATCTAACGTTTACCAGATGACTGATGGATTTCAATTAATCAGTGTTGGCAATGAAAGCAGAAATTTTCATCAAAATAATAGACGTGGGCGAGTGCAAGGTGGGTGGAACAATAATCAGTCCAGGGACTTCCATAGTAGCAATCATGAAGGGCAGAGTAGGGCGCATGATAATTACAGTCAAGGTACCAATCAAAACAAAGGATATGATAATAATAGATTCCAAGGTACACCAAATGAAAGACAGTGGGGCCAGGATCCTCAGAATTATTATGGCAATAGCCAAGATCCTCAGAATTATTATGGCAATAGCCAAGCTCCTCAGAATTATTATGGCAATAGCCAAGCTCCTCAGAATTATTATGGCAATAGCCAAGATCAGTATGGTGGCAATAATAGAGAGTATACTAGACATGATTCTGCAGATGTAAATAGACGTGGTTACTCCAAAAGAGGCAGAGGTCATAATGGACAAACTTATTACAATCAACAGAGAAATAACTGAACTGATTTATTAGGTAACATATTGTATATAATCATAAAGTTACCTTCTTGTTTATAACTAAACTAAACTATTAATTCAAAGTATATGATTAGGTATATATTCAATATTCTTACAAATAAATTATATAATCAAAACATTTTATTATATTCATTTATTTGCAAACAAAAATTAACCTTGCAATTAATACACTTGAAAAAAATGAATTTCCTTTGATTCTGTTTTTTATAAATATTTACTATTTAGTTTAACTTTATATTATAATGATTGTATTGTATAATAAATAAAAAAAATTGAACTTTTAAAGTATCAAGTGTAATATAAAAAAACTAGTTCGTGAATTACCCCATATTATTGTTATGGATATTTAAAAATACACCTAATAATGGAATAAATAATTGTTATTCATATATTGTGGATATTTTAGAACTTGAATATATGTATACGAACATTGTGATCAATAGTTAAAGTAAGCCTTTGTCTTTGATTTTTAATATTTGTGGAATTTGGCAATATAATTAGTGTTGACTCAGAGAGTTGTGTCATTGTGATGTTATATTTATTATATAAAAAATAATGTTTGGTATTATAGTTTATACATTTATTACATTTCTAGTATACAACTTTAAATATCTTAAATATATACCAAAAATGTATAAAATACATTTTTATTTATTATTAATCGTAAATGTATAAAAGAATAATTCCTGTAATTTTTGATATTGAATATTGTTGTAAAATTTTCAAAAAGGCAACATACTCAATTACATTGACTTAATTAATTTTTAATCAATGATTGCAGAAGTATAATCAAAAATATCAAATGTATAAGTAGATCAAAAAGAGTCAAAATATTTAGAAGATTCAGTGGTGTAGAAGGGCGTATATGCGAATATTAAACGGCATATACCCATTTCTCTGTTTTTCTGTAAGTGTCTATACGGTCTACTTATAAAAGAACCATGAATACATGATACGCATATGGGAATGCATATTTTATTCTATAAACCAATTTCATAAATAATTTTTAATTAATAAATAAAAATGTTGAACATACCTTACCAATTTGAAGGTTTCCATAATCAAAAATGTAGGTTTTATTATAGGTACTCATAGTATTTTAGTTTATATGACAGTACAAGTGTACTACACTGTAATTAAACATTTAATATCTATGGGTATAGTGACTTAGGAATCTAGGAAAAAAAATCCCATACCTTACATATTCATTGATTATACCACGGACGACGGACCACGGTATTATAGTATTATAGTATTACTCTTTATACTGTGATTATACCTTAGATCATATACATACATAATACATATATATAAGGATTATTACTCTAAAATATTCCAAATGTCAATTATTGTTCTATGAACTATAAGATTAATTTTTAGATTAATTTATTTAAATTAATATATATATACTATATATACACTATACACATTATACATAATAATATAATATATAATATTTTAGGCATATGATATTAGTACTTAGGTTTATAATCTTGATAAATATTGGAGTAACGCAAGCCCGGATTAAGACATTTTGAGGCCCAGGGGCCAAAGTTTAAATGAGGCCCCTGTACGAAAAAAAAATAATGTATATTAATATTAATATATAGGTACCTGTTATAATAAATATATATAGGTATTAGGTACATAGCAATCAATCAAGAATTAAGTATCATTTTATTTATAAATTATAATTTACAAGCTTTTTTCCTCGCTAAATAATCATCGATTTTTTTAAAGTGATTTATGCGGTGTTATAGCCTATAATGGACAAATCTGAGGCCCCTAAATAAATGGTGGCCCGGGGCCCATGGGGCATCATTGTATAAGAAAATCGATTGTGAGCGAAAACGGTCAGTCAGCCTATGATATTACCAAGTATATTATTTGATGATACTATATTGGGAATAATGTAATATATATATTTACCTATTTAAGTGGACCATTGTTTTAAATTTTCAATCCTTATAGCTATAAAAGTTGAATATTTTATACATTTTTAAATACAAAATAATTATTAAATTTTGTCAAAATTCGAACTTAAAATGCTTATAAAAAAAAATTGTGTGTTTGTATTTTTAATATTTTTCAACTAGGTACGTACCTATTGTAACTAGGTATACTATTGTTACATATCAGGAGCCTTGCATTAAACTTTCACGCCATTTTACCCAACATTTTAAAACTGACAATGTCAGTAAACCCTCAAAAATAGTCAAATTATTTAAAAAAAATTTTTGGTGTATAGAAAATGAAAATATAAAAATTCAGTAAAATGTTCATGTATTTACAGTCATTCGTTTTTGAATAACAATAAAGTAACAAAACCGCTATATTTAGTTTTTATGATTTTGACGAATTTTGTCACTCATAAAAAAATATTGTGGATTTACAATCAATTTTTTTTTTTCCACTAATTACAACAATTTTTGAGTTTTATTTGAAGTTTTTTGTTGGAGCCCCGCTTGTATCCATTTTAGAAAACCATTCTCACTAATCAATATCTGTTTTAAAAACACTGTTTGATAAGACGCCAGGTATCTGGGAAAAGTTTAACTATAAAATGATTAATTTTTGAATAAGTTTAATTTAATTGATTTAATCTAAGTAAAAAATAATTTTTAATTTACAAAATGATACTCGTATTAAAAAATTGCTCGAGCTATAAAATGGTAATTTCAAAATATTAATATATACATCATTAATCAATAACGTAGTAAACTTATAACTTGTAAGTTGTAATCAAGTATACCAACCTACAATCATAATAAGACTAACACAACGCTTAAATTAAATTATTGTAATTTGTGTACCCAATTCATTTCAAACTATGTTAAATTGCCTATCGATATAAAAACACAGCAATCAAAAATTAATTATCACAATCTGTAATAAATCTATACTATTATATAAAATTGTAATGGTTTTCTTCGATCGCTCTAACCGAGAAAACTACTGAACCGATTTGGCTGATCCTTTTTTTGTTGGGTTCATAATTGTCAGTACAAGATTAATATGAAAGAAAATTGTATCAAAATCCACCAGAAAAAGGAAATAGGGATGTCAAAAATACAACAGTGGCGAGATTTGTCCAGAAAAAAATAAACTAATAATAAAAAAGGTGCTCTGCTGTACAGTAGGTAAAGTAGGTAGGTTACAAGTGGGTCACTGTATAATGGATGGAATTAAATTTGAATTCAATGATATAATATAATTGTATAAGAAAAACGATTCTGAGCGGAGACGGTATGTTAGTCTAGGTATAAGACATATTATATATTTATTTATCGTATTAGAAAAAATTTACCTAAAATAGGTACCTACCTATAATAAATTCCAAATTAATCATATCACAATATCCATTAGGTACTTATAATGCGTTATACGTTAACAACAAACCCTGATACTATCATAGATATATAATAGTGACAATAGTGTACTTTAGAAGTTTCAAGTTCCCATGAATAATAGGTATTATACAATCACAACAAAATAACTAAAATAGTTATTCTAGGTTTTTTTTATGTAATTTCGTCCAAAGTTAAACTTACAATGACTATAAAAATAAACTGCGCTTATGTATTTTTTTGATATTTTGGTAACAGAATTAATTACTTACGTGGAAACTTGTTTTTAAATTTTCAATCCTTCGATATAAAAGTTGAACATTTTATACATTTTAAACTACAAAAAAATTATTAATTTTAAATTTGATAAATTTAGTCAAAATTCGATCCATAAATGCTTATAAAAAAAACTTGTGAATATGTATTTTTAATATTTTTCAACTAATATTGTAACAATATATCAGAAGCCTTGTATTAAATTTTTACACTTTTTGGCCCAACAGATAAAATTTTATTGATATTCATAAAAAAAAAAAACTAATAAAATTGGAAACTGAAAATGTCCCTAAACAGTTCAAAATAAATCAAAATATTTTGAAAATATTATCGTATATAGAAAATGCAAATATAAACAACCAGTGAAAATTTCATGTACCTATACGGCATTTATTTAATGTTACACCAAAACCCAATTTCGATTTTGCTTAACAATTCCCGTTTTTCCTTAATTTTTCTTTTGTTTTTCTTCTCGCTTTTGAAAATCACTGGGAATTTTAAATTTTGACCTCCTCAATGCACCAACAATATTCACTTTCCAATCGAACAAGATACTGAAGTTGAAAATCGAAGTATTATTTCAACTACTTATCGTGTACACAGACACAAATAAAATTAAAAGTTAAAAATTAAAAAATTAAAAAAAAAACACATATCATTGTAAAATCAATACATTCATCGTTCCACTCAGAATCTAAAAGTCATCAACAAGTATGTCACCGACACTTAAGAGTTAAGTTCGAAAAAGAGTAACATTTAACATTTTTTTACTCTATCAATGTATAGATTGCTATTTAAATAAACAGTACCTATAGGGCAGTTTGAGGAGGCAAAATAAGTTCCTTCCTGTCAAAAATCGAAGTTACATAAACGTAGGTACTTATAAAATGTTTTCAATCCCTGTCCTAGTTAGAAATACAATTTTCGAAAATGTTTTTTGGAAAAACTGTTAGGTACTCTACGGTGCCATAATCATAATACCTTAGTTTTGAAGTTCACTCGGAAATCCCTCCACCACAAAATTGATAGTACCTACCTATCCATCAGGTATTACAACATTTCTTATACAGTTAATAAGTTTTGTCAATTTTCTAGTTATACAATAGTATTGATTAATTTATATTACCAATTTATTTATTTATATTTAGTATTTACACATATCGACTTTTATAATTTTATTGATATATATTTATTCTCATATAGGTCATAAACTATTTTACTAATTAATTTTTTATATAATGTTTATTAATTATTAATTATACCATAATTGGTTTTATTAAACTGATTTTCACATACACGTTGTATTAGACTCTTTACATAATTTCCCTGCAAAATTGTTGAATCTAGTGTTACCATGTA